TGTTTATTTTGGGCTCGCAGCCAGCAAAAGCCGGGACTGATAAAAATATTTCTTTTGAAGTTCTGTTTGGCTGTCGTTTCTGAACGAACAAGGTGGGGGTCAGAGCACCCATCCTTAAAAGAGAAAGGGCGGCCCAACTGCACTGCCTGAATCATTTTCTCTGAGCAGACACTGACCTTCAAGCTGCATGGCCGAAGGAGACTTCTTCATGGGGGATGCCACCCTTAGGAAGATCCTCTGCCGCCAGGAGATCCGACGGGGGGCCAGGGTGATACCACCAGCATTTAGAGAGTCACTGCTGCACACGGAGGAAGTCCTCTTCCTTTTCTCCACATCGCTGCAGGAGGGACCAGGAGGGAAGAAAACACAACAGGAGTCACTAGAAACAGCTCTTCTTGTGAACACTGAGCTCGGCCCATCCAAAGCCAGCAAGAGCATTTATACACCCAAGGTTGAGTTCGGTCACCAGGATCAGGGGCAGCTCAGATGTTCCATGGGGGACCTGGCATCACTTCAATCCAAGAGCACCCCCAATGGTACACGACAACCACAAGGAAAACCTTGCTTGCTCACCTTCTTCGCAGCCAAAAGAGACCCTTCCTTTTTCTCCCAGTTCTGCAATTTCAAGGGATGCAGTGGCTCAGTGGCTAGGACTCTGAGCTTGTCGATCAGAAAGGTTGGCAGTTCGGTGGTTCGAATCCCCAGCACCATGTAACAGAGTGGGCTCCCCTTACTTGTCCCAGCATCTGCCAACCTAGTAGTTCAAAAGCATGTAAAATGGCAAGTAGGAAAATAGGAACCACCTTTGGTGGGAAGGTATCAGTGTTCCGTGAACCTTCAGTGTTTAGTCATTCCAGCCACATGACCAAGGAGACATCTTCGGACAGCGCTGGCTCTTCGGCTTTGAGACGGAGATGAGCATGGCCCCTAGAGTCGGGAACAACTAGCACATATGTGCGAGGGGAACCTTTATTTCACCTACTACAATTTCATGTACTTGAAGTTAACCTACGTCCTAACTCTAAGATTTCATTTTTCAGTACAGGAGCTAAAACAGGTTCTATAAATAGGCCTTAAATCAAAATGAAAATGAAAAAGCAAGCCATCTTTAAAAGAAAAAAACTAATCGAGTTAAAAAGGAGGAGGAATACATGAGTATTTGAGGCACAACATTTTGTGCTTTTGTTTGTTTTTAAAGCAAGCTGCACTGAGGCATAGAAAAGAAATTCCCCTTCTTTGGTAATTGGAAGAGGGAAACTGGTTTCCTCCTACTCAAGGGTGGGAAGTACCCGAACAGACCAGCTTTTAACACTTTTGCAGCTCTTTCCATAAAGCAAAACACACTTGTGTTTATTTGCAAAACATGAGAGGGACCGTGCTCCCTCCTCACAAAGGTTATGAAAGCTGAGCTGAGAAACGTAAACATTTCCAAAGCCTCAGAGAAGCCATTGGGACTGCAGATGGAAGAGATTCAAGGACTTTCCTCTATGGTGCTCCTGGGAAAACTTTTCTAAATGCGTTTTTCTTTCTTCCCCTCCCTTAAGGAAGAGGCTGGACATGAAAAAAATAGATGGTTAAAAACTAAGCAATTAACTGTGGCTGAACTGCCATCTCTAAAAACCTATCTCTCCTGCAGTTACAATTATTTGAAGTCTACCTATTTACAGGTAAAGGTGAAAGTTTCCCCTACCCAGTTGTGCCTAGGGAGAGGTGCTCATCTCTGTTTCTTAGCCAAGGGAGCCAGTGTTGTCTGAAGACAATTTCCATGGTGATGTGGTTGGCATGACTATATGCCGAGGCACACACAACCTTCCCACCGAAATGGTACCTATTTATCTACTCGCATTTGCGTGCTTTCAAACTGCTAGATGGGCAGGAGCTGTGGAACGGAATGGGAGCTCACCCCGTTGCACAACGCTTGGGTCTTGAACCCCAGATGCTAGCTGACAAGCTCAGTTGTCTTTAATCACTGAGCCCTCGAGCCCACACCAACGATCTAATAAAAGTTTCAATGTTCAACAGCCACCGGAATGGTTTAACAAGAACAATAAGGGGAGAGAGAAAAAACCCACAGGCATAGCTCCCTAGTCCTAAAAAGGTTATGAACAGCAAATTTCCAAAAAGGGAATTAGCAGTATCAACAATTTGGTTTCAAATTATCCCTGAAGCTATAATTCAAACAAGCATTCAGATAAGCTCTTCTGGAAGTTAAATATGTTTACAGTTTAATCATTCTCATTTTTCCTCTGGCGGTGCAAAAAAAGTCATAATAGTTTTTTAACATAATGCAAAACATTCCTTCCCTTGGGAGCCTGGATTATGGGGTTTTTTTTTAAAAAAAAATTGGTATTAAATCAAACAGCAAAACCATTAATGCATTATAATAGTAATTACTTCCAAACACAATTTTCTTTGCACACCAGAACAGCTCAACATTATTCTTAAAGCAAGTGTGTAAGAGGCGCAAGGAATTTCCAAATAATTAGCCCTCAATAATACCCTGGTTTTATTTCAAACAGCTGCAAGACCCTGTTAGGAGTGTGTATTCAGACATGTCTACACTACAAGGGAGAAATTTTGCAGAACTTCGCCATCCAAAACATATAATACTTACAAAACTACTTTCTTCTTCCTGTTTCATGAGCCACACTGAGCTTCTCCAAAAACAAAGTGGGAATTCCTACCACCCTCCATTAGACCTTGGCAGCAATATTCCACGCCCGTCATCCAAAGTTAAGTTGTCATTATTTTCCCGTGTTCAACAGCAAACGCTTCTGGTTTGATCCAGCTGACCCAAGAGAAATTTTTTTATGCTGTTGCTAATATTGGCATTTTTCTACTGTGCCTTTGCTTTCGGTTCAACTTCTCTTTTCCTTGGAAGAAAGGCAATTATCTTAATGCCTCCAAATCATGCTTTAGTCTGCACTCTTTGAAAGGAGTCAAAGAACCAAAACACACACATGCACTGGAGGAAAAAAAAAACAGCAGGCAAATGCTTGGGGAAGTTGAGAAAAGCCATGAAAACTTTTCTCCCCAAGGCTATCTGGTTAGTAGCAGCTTCAATTCATTGACCTGGCTGGCTTGGAGATCTCTTTCCTCCCCTTTATGTTTGCAGGGGCTCAAAACCTGGCAACTGGTGAACTTCAACTCCCAGAATTCCACAACCAATGTGACTAGCTGAGGTAATTCTGGGAGTTGAAGTCCACAAGTCAAAACTTTGCCCAGGTTTGGAGACCCTTGCCTTACCTTGTTTTAAGCTGTGGTACAATCCCACGGGTACATTCTGGGATGGCCCTAAAATTAAGCAGAATGCATGAACCTTCGGTTCAAAACCTAGGTATGTCTCAAGCGTTAGCGAATCTATCTCCTCAAGGCGCTTGCGTGGAAGCGCAGAACTAGTCATAACCGGGTAAGGACCGCGGGCGGGCGGGCACACCCTTCGCCGTTCCCGGAAGTTACTTACTTCCGGGTTCGGCAACCAACCGGTTCGCAGGGACCACCGCGAACCGGTTGAAACCCACCCCTGCTGTGTTCCCAGGCAGGATGGATCAGAAGGTTGGGGGCAAGGTTTTGCCGTGGATTTGAGAAAGCTTCAGAAACCACAATTTCCTTGTGTCACTAACTTAGCCACCACAGTGATTCACTTAACAACTCTGACAGGAAAGGTGGGGAAATGGGGCGAAGCTCACTTAACAACTGTCTTGCTTAGCAACGGACATTTTGGCTCAATTGTGTTTGTACTACCTGTATTCCAAATGACCTGGAAGAGAAAGAAGAATTTTCCAGTGGCTTTGATTAAATGATCTCCCTAGTAACTCGTTGACAAACGAAGAGCCAATTGGGAACTTTACAAAGGGCAGCCAATCCACAATATGTTCTGACTTCTTCTCCCTGAAATCTGCAGAAACCTTTTTAGTTTTCTAGATCAGCGGTCACCAACTGGTGGTCCGTGAGAAAATTTTGGTGGTCCGCAGAAAAATTCTTTGCATTTTTTTATATTGCACTAAATCAGGGGTCCTCAAACTACAGCTCCTAGGCCGGATACGTGCAATGAATGCTTGTGTTGCTGCAGAGAGTCTCCCATTTGGGGTCTTCTTGTGTTGGTCAGAGGGGGGAGAAATCCTGACTTGGGGTCTGCTTCAGCCTCCTGGTGCGGGGTTTTGGGTGAAGGCTGGAGGGAAGTGCTGGTGGTGGTGAAGAGACGGAGGGCCTTGTTCCAGTGTGACTGCATCATGGCCTGGAACTGGCTGACCATCTTAGTCTGCTGAGCCTCCAGGGGACGGTACCTGGCTTTGCACTCCCGCAGGTCTTCCCTCTGCTTGGAAAGCCTATGCTCGTAGTCCTCAGTGAGGTGCTTCTGCTGAGCCTCCTTGGTCAGAGCCAATTTGAACTGAGCCAGCTGTTTTGCCAACTCTTTCCCATGGTGGCTGCTTAGCTCCAGCAACTGCTTCCTGTTGGGACTCTAAAAAGCCCTGGTGGGCAGGCAAGGAGTGGCTGAGAGGGGAGGGGCAACTAGAGGCTGGCGAGGTGCCCCTCGACATGAGTGACACCGAGTTGGCCATGCCCACCCAGTCACATGACCACCTAGCCACACCCACCCAGCTGGCCATGAGACAGATCATATTAGTGGTCCACGGGGTTTAAAATTATGAATTTAGTGGTCCCTGAGGTCCAAAAGGGTTGGTGACCCTTGGTCTAAACCATCACAAGGAAGAAAAAAGCAGGTTTGAATGACTGCCTGTGGCTCTCATCTCGATTAAATGAATAAAGTTCTTAAGTTTTCACTTAGACCTCACGAGGTAAGGCCCAGGTCAGGGAGAAGGCACAATAGATCCAGATACGTTAAAACTTCAATTGTATGATAGCCTATGCTTAACATCAGCAATGGTTTAAATTGTTCAAAGTTAGCTTAGCAAGAAGAAGCTAAGATCAATGTAGAGATGTTATTAACTTTTTTTATTTCTTTTTTCTCAACATATTTTAGACTGTGTTTGTTAAAAATCTATACCGTGTACGGGCTCTGGGAAGTCGG